TTAGCCTGCGTCACAGACGCTACCTAGCGCGGGTCTGCGACGTAGGCTAGAAAAACCTACAACTAAATTGTTATTTGTCGCACATTTTGTGTGAAAATATCGTTATGTTTAATCCCAGTCACGAGAACCGCACAAGACCGTGTGAATCCTTGAAAAGGAAAACGTCGAAGGGAGATCCCCACTGCATAATAAAATTCAAGCTTGTGTGAAGGGCGGCGGAACCCCGTTAGCCAATGAAAATTCTGTTCTTCTGTTTACTTGAAAATTGGTCACCAAGCCTTTCCGAGCATTTCGCTGAAACAGAAACGCTGCAAATACAAGTGAACTTACAGGAGGTGCGCAAGCATCTCTTTCAAAATCTCTTCAGAACCAGTAGACTTATGGAGGCCTGAATGGTGGACGCTTGTGCCTGGAAGTCTGGCAGTAATCTGGTTCCTCAAGACCAGATCGAGTGGTTGTTGTCTTTGCTCCTGAAGGCCGAGGAGCGAAGATGGCTCGTGAGCATCTCTCCCGTAAACTCGGTTGAACACGGAGCCTTGCAACGAGCCGAGGGGAACCAAAATCGAATTGGTTCCTTTGTTGATGCTGGATCCCTGCTACTGAGGTAATCCTTTATTCAGTTTCTTCCTTGAACGTGTTCTTGTCGACTCCAAAGCTCTTTGTTGATGCAAGAGTATTGCATGAGACACATGATGAGAGCTCATACTTTGTACAGTCTTAGCTTAAGCATGTACATATGCTTTTTAGCATCCCGCTGTTTTGACTTGTGCTATTTTCAAAACATTTGTGATCTTTTCACTGTTTTATATTCGCAACATGAAATCGCAGGTTATAAGTGAAGGAAGTTAAGATTGTCGACGTAGTTTAGGCTGGAAATTCACCAAAGTTTGTATGTTGCTTGACCTGAGGACCGGAAGTGTTGAAGAAACAGACGTGGAATATTTATCTTTCTGGGATGCTTTTGATTGTTCGTAAAGCAGGTTACCACACCTCTACACCTTGTAAACTTAACTTCATCAAAATTGTTTTCAACATGTTAAGGCAAGTTTTGGCTGAAAAAGTTTATTTCCCATGTATCAATTTTTAAAAAATTTGGGAAATTTCAGTTAGAATGTCGTTAAGGAACACTCTCTCTCCTACAGACACCTCTACACCTTTGCAATGTGGACAATTCTTTATTATCGCCAGTCATGGGGGTAGCATGCATTTTTTGTGGAGAGGGTTAATTGAGCATCGAAGGTGCCTACCGCTAGGGATGTCTGGGGGAATGCCCTCCTCCTACAGGAAATGTTCATTTTCATGTTTTTGGGGGAACAATTTCATTTTTATCAAAACATCTGGTCCAGGTTGTTCGTAAGGTGGGTAATGCTTTCCACCAGATAAAACGCTATCCAGCGGATAGCGTGGTTTGTTTTGTTAACACTTGTCCACTGGATAGTGATTTATGCGGTGGATAGCGTTATCCAGCCTTTGAGCAACTGGAACCTGATGGATAAACTTTTTATTGCGTGTATTTTATCCTCTAATTCCAGAACCCAAAGTTAATTAAATAATGATATTTAACCAAGCTATTGTTCTGCTACTGTATATTACAGCCATGGAAAGTTTATTAGAAGAATTCACAACAGATTTCATGATCTTGAGTAAGTATATTTTATTTTGTGTGTGTGTGTGTGTGTGTGTAAGATATGATCTACATGTAGGATTATCTTGCTTCTCAGATCAGTGAACATGTAACGAACACTCACATTGTGGATCACTGTCGATTTGAATTGCTACTGGAGAGCACTTTCCATTTAAGGTGGCTTTCTGCAATTTTGAGAGTGTAAAGCAGCTCAACTTTCAACTTTTTTTTAAAATGTTTCAAGATTTCAAGGCTGGTTTTTGCCAGCGATGGAGTCGGAGTCGGAGTCGTAGTCAGAGTGGTAAGAGTACTTTTGACCGAGTGAAAATCGAAAATTGTATTCATAAGCTGAATGATTTTGGAGCTGCAGGAATCAGAACAGTTCCTTTTCTTTAAACAATTCTTTTTACGACTTAGGTTAGTGGAGTTCGAAGCAGAAGCAGAAGAACCAACCAATTGCAAGACCCAGAATCAAGCATTGGATTGGTTAATTATTCCGCTTCTGTTTCCGACTCTAACAATACACTACATGTACAGGTAGATTATGAGTGACAGAGTCATGAATGGAATTGGTATTCTGCTTCCAACTCCATTGGTTTGATTTCCACTAGATGATATTACTGTGCGCTTCTCATTACGACTTCAACAAGGATTACGATTTCTCTTGGCCACTTATGCAGTACAGCGTTGATGAGGACAGAGTCTGCATGTTCTTATGCCTAATCCACTGTTATTACATGCATGTAATTACATATACATACATGTAATAATGATAAAATTAGTGGAATGTTTTTGTTACCACAAGAATGTTTAAAATGGTCTGTTTAATTTGTAGGCTGAGTCACTACTGCCTCAAGGTCACAGCCAACAGCACAAATCCAGACAGGCCATCTTCTCAAATGAAAGTGGTAAGGGAGGTTCTTGCCAACTCTTGTGCCTTAAATCTGATCACACAGACCAACTTAGCAGCCAATCAAGATTGTCTCTTCCAACATGTATTGTCTACACTGCCTCAAAATACAACAGAGACTGTGTCATCTGTGAAAGTCTGACCATGAACAAAATCAGATTCTTCATTCTGAACTGGTGTTTTGAGTCGTTTATAATTTGTTGGTGGCCCCCTTAAAGGTTTTGCACTGTAACAATGCAAAACAGGATAACAATGAAGAATAAAATTTATTCGTAATATTGTGTATTTTTTTTTTTTTTTTTTTTCAATTCTGCAGGTTTCAAATGATGACAGCAATGCATCTAGCTTTGGACAAGGAAGGAATCCTAGTTCTAGTAAAGACTTGTTTCTTTGAATCAATTAAGCAAGTGAAACTAATTCATAGTTTTGCTTTCACTAGACCAATCAAAAGCTGTTTGTTTGTTTATCTTATTAAGCCTGTCCAATCAATTTTCTTCCATACATGTAGGTCCATTTCTTTGATTATTGTTGGCATTCTTTTTTTTTTTGGCATAATCATTTCTAGGTCAAAATGAAAATCCCTTGGTCAGTGCTCCAAGCTGTGACCATTTTGGCTGCGGAACAGGTCGCCAAATTGGCGACTAGTGTATTGCAAAAGGCAGACTGTCATCAGCAAGGTCTTTCGTAATATAATCATGAAATCAAACAAGTTCAACTACAAATATGTTTGCATACATATCTGTCTTCCTTACTCGCTTCTTTTTTCTTGTATAATTTACCTTTCTCTTTCTGAACAGTATTTAAGAGTCCCTGTCCATAAAAATGGAAAAAAACTCGGCAAGGGTCGAAAATTCAATTTCGCTCATATTTTCATGGTAGATAGGCTAGGGCATGACAAAAACTACTGGATAGTTTTTTTGGCAAAA